AATGCTACAAATGAATCATGGATAGTAATTAGTGAGCTAATGCTATTAGTGAACAGCCGTATCATACTGTTTTCCCTTTTTAGAGGAAAAAAATCAATTATGTGGCTAATTTATAGTTAGTGAGGATAACATTATGCTATCTTTAGAGTTTTGTATGGTGAACTTTTCTTCATCAGTGAACCTGAGCTAATATGTAGAGCTAATATACCAGATAAAATAACTGAATTGCAAGTTGGTTTGCTCTGCTGCAGTGAAAAGTCACCAGTTCAAAACCTACTTCAGACAGGACTCTTTAGGGTAGTCATTGTCTTCCTTAGAATTAATACTTTCTAGAGTGTGTAGATTCTTGATTAATACTTTCCAGTGTGTATAGATTCTTGCGTTTCCTCCAGCTTCTCCAAAGAGAAAGAGATGGGGGAAAGACAGGGAGTACTCTGCTATTTCACTGTGCTTTGTTTCCAGTTTGGAAAAGTGCTGCTTTGAATCTTGTCTGGAGGAATGCAGTAGGATATTAGGAATCCTGTTTCCTGCTTTATTTGATTAAATTAGTTTAAATCATGCTGTTCAAGGTAAAAAAAAAGCTCTTAAGATGAGCTTTTATGTTTGGATTTGCTTTGAATTTTCCTACATTTCAACTTGTCACCCTGTCTTTGTTGTTCCATGTCCCTGGTAAACTAAGGAGCTAAATGAGGTCTTTCCAGAGAAAGCCAGCATGTCTTAGTAATCACATCAGAGCATTCGAGAATAGTAAGTCAGAAGTCTCCCACATCCAGATATCATCCTTTTGACCCAGTGAAATAGACACAGTCAGGGTGTGACCTTAAACATGTATTGAGCTGACGGCATGTGAGCCCACCTTTGCCAGGTGCAAGGAGTGAATGAAGGAGTCTCTTCAAATTTGTAAGTCATGAATGGTTGACTGGAAATACATTTATTCATTGTAGGTGACTATGTGGACTTTAAGATCAAAAAGAGATACTTAAAATTTTGCACAGATATTCAAGGCATAGTACAGACCATTAAACTGGGAACACAGTAGCTTTGTCTTGTGAAGCAAATGGAAGGCGTTAAGACATATGGGGGAGGAATTAATCCAAGTGATCCACTAATCCCCAAACCTAAAATTCAATATAAGAATCAAGCTACTTTTTCCATTGCACAGGACAAGCCAATATAGGTGTTCGCTCTGTAATAAATGGATTCACAGCAAAGACAATCCATTGCTAGTTGACCACATGTTCAGTATTTAGAACTGTTGGGGCAGAGTGTTTGTATGATACCTGTCTGAAAAGTCTGTAACTTAGAAACGGGCAACTTTGGCTTTCTAGGGAAAAGAAATCAGTGATTTAATTTGTTTTCTGAGCCAGTCTCAGAGAATAGGCCTCCCACTTCCCCAGATACCATAACCCTTTCCTTTTTACAGCTTTTCCTGGCTTGGCAGGAGTGGTAGTACTCAGGAGAGCTACATCTCTGGAGAGATCATGAGAGGTTTTGATATCTTGTATATTAGCATACCCTGACAGTGTTAGGGCCCTGTCATATAAAATGCCTTCTTTACATATGTGTCCATCTGCCCTTAAATCTGTAGGGGAGGTCTTGCTCTGGATCACATCCTTGGAGGTCTACAGAGGCATAGTATTGGGCATTTTCCACAGCAATACCTGCACTATGTATTTTTGTTCCTAATTGGGCTACCTGACTTACTTTTTTGCCATCATGTGAAAATCTGGTCATTTGAGACAGCTTTCCATATGGGCAGATGTTCTGTTTGATGCATCTGCATTGTTTTTAACTGTGATTTTTAAAATGTGGCTGTTGATTTTAAGTTATGATTTCAATGGGTGTTGTATGGTTTTTGTGAGCCATGTAAGGTTCCCTGTAATTGTTAGAGAGTATATGCTTGTATATGTTTATTAAACTATATAAAATCATTTTATATAAAATATAAAATTTTATATATATAAAATATATAAAATGGCATTTTTAGTAGCTCATAAAATTAAAGTTACAGTGGGTGCCTTCTTGAACAACTTCTTGAAGATGAAATTTGACTTCGGAATAGATTCCATTTTGGTTGTTTTTGTTTACTGTACTTGTTTATAATTTGCTTACTTAATATAAAAGTTTAATTTAAATATTTAATTCAAGAAACTTCAGGCCTAGAATAATGTGTCTCTGTGGGTAAGGAAGTAAATAAATGTATAGGTGCAAGGTATAAAAGCAGTAAAAATAATATACTTTCTTTTTTTCTTATGGCGAATTTCTTGCTATCCTTTTAAAAAGTAGTATTTTTAAAAGTGTGTATATAGTTCCTTTATTCACTGAATGCATTTTGATTTCATCTTCAATATGCAGTGTATGCTTGGCAATCCTCCTCTGCAAATACAAGCAGTTGCTTTTTTCCAAAAGTCCAGAAATGATCTATTATCATAATAGCATCCTCCGTAGTCTACCATCCACAAAGTTAATTCAAAAGCCTCTGTATTTCCCATAAAAAACTAGATTTTATTTAACTGGAGACATAATGCATATTCAAACTCTGCACAGTCAAGGTCAGTGGTCAAAACAGCTATATTTCATAATGTAAATATGTATGTATTCAGCAACTATTTCTGATTTCATGCTTGTTTTAAATCAGCAAGCTGCTGAATCGATTATATTTGGCAATGCTGTTCTATTATTTTGGTGTGGGACAAGCTGAGAAGTCTGATAGTATTTTTATGAGTGCATTTTTGAAGGATTGCCATGAGTATACACGTTTGAGTAGAATAAATTCAATAAAAATGGAACTACTATTCAGTTTCAATTAAGGGCAACTTTTCACAGTTTTTGTTATGCCCACAAATTGTGGTAAGATAATTTTATTTCCAGAGGATTGCTGAAGAACATTGTTTAGAAAGATCCTTAGCTCAGCAATGCTGATCTCAACAACTCAAAATAATAGTATTGCATAATAAAATCTTTACAAACAAGTAGTTGAACTTTCACAAGTCAAATGGTATACTAAAGAAGAAAGCTGGCCATGCAAAAGATCTGCAAAAGCAAGATGGCTTACAAAACTGGGAATTTGCTGGCTCCATTTCAACATACTTATGAACAATAGTTCGTCACTACCAGAATGAGGCCTGTTGTGCCTTGGCCTAATCAAGTGCTAATCTAGCAGCTTCCGCTTTAGACTTATCACATGAATATTGACATGCTAGTGGCATAGCCGTTAACGCCTCTCTGAGGGAGGGTCAGGTGCCTGCCCCTTTAAAGGAGGCGGTAGTCCGACCGGTCCTGAAGAAGGCGTCACTGCATCCAGAGATGGCCACTAATTATAGACCAGTGGCCAACATCCCGTTTCTGGGCAAGGCGTTAGAGCGAGTGGTGGCGGGACAACTCCAAGCACTCTTGGATGAAACTGATTATCTGGACCCATTTCAGTCCGGCTTCAGACCCGGGTACGGTACTGAATCTGCCTTGGTCGCCCTGTACGATGACCTGTGCAGGGAGAAAGACAGGGGGAGTGCGTCCCTGTTGGTTCTCCTGGACCTCTCAGCGGCTTTCGATACCATCGACCATGGTATCCTTCTGGACAGGCTTGCGGGATTGGGGGTTGGAGGCACTGCTTTGCAGTGGTTCCGCTCCTATCTTGATGGCCGGTTCCAGAAGGTGGTGCTGGGGGACTATGGCTCTGCGCCATGGCAGCTATGCCATGGAGTGCCGCAGGGGTCCATTCTGTCCCCATTGCTGTTCAACATCTACATGAAACCGCTGGGAGAGGTCATCAGGAGGTGTGGGCTGCGGAACCATCAGTACGCTGATGACACCCAGCTCTACCTCTCGTTTTCCACCAATCCAGGTGAGGCAGTGGCTGTACTGAACCGGTGCCTGGCCGAGGTAATGGGCTGGATGAGGGCCAATAAACTGAGGCTCAATCCAGACAAGACGGAGGTCCTGTTGGTTGGTGATTCTGGCTTTGGAGAGGGTGAACTGAACCTTGTTCTGAATGGGGTTGCACTCCCTCTTAGGGACAAGGTTCGCAGCTTGGGAGTGCTCCTCGACCCGGAGCTTTCACTAGAAGCTCAGGTGACCGCAGTGGCGAGGAGCGCTTTCCTCCAGCTTCGGCTGATCCACCAGCTGCGCCCCTATCTGGAGTATGACTGCCTCGCAACAGTGACACATGCATTGGTGACTTCCCGTCTCGACTTCTGTAACGCGCTCTACGTGGGGCTACCCTTGAAGACGGTCCGGATACTTCAGCTGGTTCAAAACAGAGCTGCCAGGCTGCTGACGGGGACTGGGCGTTGTGTTCACATGACTCCAGTTCTCCGTCAGCTTCACTGGCTCCCCATTGAAGTCCGGGCCCAATTCAAGGTGTTGGTGATGACCTATAAAGCCCTAAACGGCTTGGGTCCTGGTTACCTGAAGGAGCGCTTGGATCCATATATGCCCAGCCACCCCTTGAGATCGGCGGGGGAGGCCCTTCTCCGGGAACCCTCCATGAAAGAAATTAGGAGGGTGGGTACTCGGAGGAGGGCTTTCTCTGCGGTGGTGCCTAAGTTATGGAACGCGCTCCCCAGAGAGGTCCGCCTGGCGCCGTCGTTATTTGTTTTTCGGCGCCAGGCGAAGACCTTTTTATTCAAGCGGCATTTTAACTGTTAACATTATTGGTTTTATCTGGCCAGGGCGGCTTATTTTATACTGTGCTTATGCATAGCAGGAGAGGGTGGCCTAGGATGAAGCCCTTAGTACAACTTGTCTGAGGATTGTTGTATATGAACTGGCCCTATATATTGCTATCTTTAATTCTTTTGAAAAGATACTTCTCATTGTTCATTTTCTAAACTTATCTACTTCTTTTAATGATCAAGTGACTCATTGATACTGGAAGACACTTTTTTCCAGGAAAGACTATGTTGCAGTAATATGAATGTTTATATGTGTAGGCCATATATTTTCCATCATTATTTTACTTTATAATTGTAAAACTGAGTAATCATTTGTTTTTTTAACAGCTTCTTGAGGGAAACTTTGCTAGAGAAGTCAGTCATGAAATGGATGGACTAATTTTTCAACCTATAGGAGTAAGTTGCCATTACTTAACTTTTTATCATTGTCAAAATAATTGAAATTGAAAAGTTAATAGTGTTTTAGATGAGGAAGTTCATCAACTTTGCTATTGAAGATTTCTTCATTCACTGCCAGAAAAATATTTAAGCAAAGTAATTAATTTGTTCTAAAATCTATTCTTCTTGGCTTAGTGAAGAATCAGTTAGCTTCTGTATACAGTATCCTATGTTAATTTGATTAATTATTGTGAAAATTTCAAGAAATGTAATGGAGTTGCATATTTTCCTACATGCACCTCTTAATATAATGACCATAAATATGAGCATATTCCTTTAAATTCTTATTCGTATCGATAATATATCAGTTGACTTTTAAGTAAATATGTTAGAGGATTAAATGTGAAAACTGGCACTGAATGTCTATATACAAATACTGTTACTATATTATTTCTGACTTTGATTTCTGACAGAAAGTGGTAGACCATGTTTACTGGTGAAAGAATGGTGCACATTCTGATATGGCAGTTATTTTTCTGAATGTACAGAAAAACAGGACAAGTAAATTATATACAAAAAATACAATAATCGTAATATTGCTCTTGTTAGTTTTCATTACAGTGGCTTTCAATTAGTTTAATGCAAAATATGTTTATTATGCTTAAATCAGTGTAAAAATATATTTTCCAACAATAATAGAAGTAGTCATAGAATCAAGTTCTAGTTTCTGTACAAATTACTAATGTCAAATGACCTTTTTGGTTTACCTGGTGCTGTTTTTTTTTTTTTTTGGCAATTTGTGAAGAAGATATATCTTAATTCCTTGTGAGTTGTCTCCAGTTCTGCTTACAAAATACCCTTTGATTCAGTGGAGGCTTCTGTCAGCAGCAGGAGGAGTCAGTTTTAGGTGATTCCTCTCTCAGTCTACAGGCCTGTACCAACCAGTCTGCTCCAATGGGCTGGAGGACCCTTTGAACACTATAAGAGATGGTGTGAAGAATTCCAGAGAGGTGGGAAATCATCAAAAGTTGCCTTAATCCCTTTTCCACTGAGAGAAGCTTTTGCTGGATCAGATAGTTTTCCACCTGTGGAGTGACATCAGTAAGATACAACTACAGTTTGTTTTGGTGTTTTACTTAGATGTACACAATCACAAAGCATGACAAGCCCATGATAGTCTGTGTTGTCTGAACTCAGTCAAACTGCGTTTAAGCAGCTTTAGCCGTTTTCAGTCAAGGGACCTCTGGATTTTGTTGTATGATCCCAGTCAGTGGCTGGCTTTGGATAACATGCTGAAAGGTTGAATAAGAGTTGACTGTATGCTGTCGTGGAGCCATGGTTTGTTGTTGAAGTGTGAGTTACTGCATTGTCCTGAATCCATCAGCATTAATAAACTACTTTTTAAACCATGATTTGTTGTTGACATTGTTCATAGATAACAAACCACAATTTGTTAGCTTGACTGGATTCGAACATCACAATCCACATTTCAGCAACAGCCCATGGTTCAACAACTCATATTGAACCAGTGCTTGATCTTGGACTGGGTTCTTGTGCTGTGTGAGCCCAGTCTGTGGGTAATAATCATGTTGTACTCATATGATCACAGGAACCCCACTTGTACAGCAGAACCAGCTGTCCACTGCCCAGTAAGGAGAACAAGGACCTATCTTATGGTTCCCAAAAGGTTCATTGTGTGACCTATAGGTAGATTAACAGTATAAATGCTTTAACAATATGGAAGCTTAAGTTAACACAGTTTAGTTTAATAATAACTGCCCAGGCTTCTACAGCACTGGAGTAGAATGTGTCCACAGTCTGAACTTACATAGTTTATATAGAAGGCTTTCTTCCAGGCTTTCTTTTTAAAAAAATAAAAACAAAAACACACATTTCCAAAATATTTTTCTTTTTTAAAATTGGCACTGGTCGGAAAAACCATAATGTCCAATAATCACAAAATTATTTAGCCTAGCTGCTTTAGAAATTATAACCTTTGGCAGGAGGTCTTTGTAGGATGTTGTGGCAAATTTAACCAAGCAATCTGTGCAAAATTGACTTACTGTACAGAAACACTGACTCCCTCTGAAAAGGGAAAATAACATTTTCTATTATAAAGCTTCCCTCTGAAAATGGAAGAGAGCATCTTTTAGATATAAAGCTTTCTGAAAATGATTTGTGACAGCAAGTACAGAGAGATTAAGATGAAGTAGAAACAAAAGTTTTTATCTGTAACTTCCTAGTTTCAAAGTATATGAAAAAAATATATTTTTTTCACTTTGGATTATTTTGGAATTTCATTGACTTAAGATTTCTCTTAGATATACTATATCAACTGATTCTGTAAAAAGCATGCAATCTGTTGTGGCACTTTTGAATATATTTTCTTTGTATCCAGATTCAGGAAGAAGCAATATTTTTAGCACTTTAAGGGCTAAGTTAACTTTAAACTGTAAATATTTTGTAATGCCCTTTAAAAATCTCAGCTAGCTCAAATTCATTTATACCACTCCAACTGGTTTTGGTCAAATTCATTACTTTGTAGCATAGTAAAAGTGCATTTCAGATCATGCTGGTTAATAATCTATTAAATGTTTCCAAAAGGTTATGTTTTATATTGCTCCTCATCACCCTTTCCCCTTAAACCATATCCTAGGGTATAATTGCTGATCTCTCTTAATGTTTCATGATTTTTAAAAAAAAACCATTATGTGAGCTGGCAAGAAATTTTTCAATATTATTAATTAGAAACTCTGTATGTGTAGCTAAGGTTTGACTCTGCTTAACATGATTAGAAGTAGATGTTCTTGCATTATTATTATTGTTTAATACCAATATCATTGTAATACCTACTGCTTGCAGTCACTTATGCTATATACTATGCAAATATGTATTGATCTTGATCTGGGGATCTGTTGGAAGAAAACGTGAAGACCGTGAACACCTGTAATATAAACAGGGCATTTTTAATAAATTGGGTACATTTCATACATTGTTCAGCATAATAATGCAATTATAATGCTCTTAATAAGCATGTTCATGTGCTGGGGTTTGATAATCAGGTTTTTTGGAGGGGGGTCATTTTGCAGAATCTTTTTCTGCTATCAGTGGAATTATTGTAGTTCACAAAGTGAAAATCAAACTTGTAATTATTTCATCTTGTCCATATTGAATCTCTGTCATTAACTTGTTTCTACATTTTATTTTAACATGTACAACAAACTACGCATCAGTATTTCCCATATTCTCAGTAGTGGTATCCATAGTACATATTTGCATTTATACTTTGATACATTTAAATCTTGTAGATTTGGTGCTTCCCCCCCCCTCTTTGATAGTAAGGCTCTCAGTGGTATTATAACTTGTAAATTATTGGCAATTCTCATTGTCTGGGGGCGGGGGGCGGGCTTATTCATGGATATAAATAGCTTTGCAGAAAAAAGTTGTTGCATGTTCAGTTGCTGCCACTGAACAAGTAATACTGTTTCAGCTTTCTTTTCCATAGCTCTGTCAGTAGTTGGAGCATTTTGCCATCAAGGTAAGGGTCAAGTGGAATTTTGCTGCTTGTGACCCTGAAAATCTTATCTTTATAAGGCTTGCTGCATAGGCATTGTGCATGAAATCTATTTTTCTACATGAAGTTCATCAAAACTAAAGATCCATTGCTCCACAGTAAAGGGGTCATGTGGCAGGATCATGGCCCCTTCCTCTACAGGTGCATATTTCTGCTGCCTCCCTAACCTTTAACTTCTAGAATGGGTTTTAAAGCCTTTGCAAATAGCTGCAAATTAAGTTAGGTGGTATGAACATGGTTGATGTTGGTGCCCACAGATGTGGGTTCCCACAGATGTTGGTGCCTACTTGGGAAAATTTTGCCTCACTAACAAAAAAGTATGCTGTTCTGCTTCCTTAACCATGACTAAGCAGTCAGGGTCATTGCATAACCATAAAAACATTTTGGCAGAAGGTATAAAACTGAATTAGGCTACAGATACCAATATTTTCTCACATATTTATTCATTGCTCAATCGGACCCTTTCTTTTTGTTAGAAGAGACATAAAATATTAGTTCTAGGAAGAGTTCAGAAAAAAATATTTAGAGGGCGTATCATAAATGTATTGTGAACAAGCATCTCAGTCCACCAAGATGAGAATTGTTTTAGTAAGTTGGCATGATACTTCTTAAGTCATTCTGGAAGCAGCCCAGAATAAGTAGAAACACTGGTTTCTGGGAGGAGGAAGGTTGGTGGACCTCCCTTATGTGAGCTCCACTAGTGTCCCCCTTTTCAGACACAAGGACTTCTTCTCATTTCAGCTTGTTCCTGTGTAAGTGGTGAGAGCTGCTTGTGCAACAGATTCAGCTCATGGCCAGTCACCATTGGAAACTATGAAATATCCCTTCAGTTTTAATCCAGACATACTCCAGTGATTCCAGGGTGGAACAGTCTTTCAGTCTGGGGGGTTTCTCCTTCTCTTTACGATCTAGAATACATTTATTTATTTATTTTATTTAAAAACATTTTTATGCTGCCCCCTTTGCAACAAGCCTTGGGGCGGCTTACAAAACAGATAAAACGAATAAATATTGAATAAAGTTTAAAAATCCGGATACATCTCAGCAGGTGTATAATAAAGAAATAACAACAATTAACAGTTAAAATATCGTTTGAATAAAAAGGTCTTGGCCTGGCGCCGAAAAGCAAATAACGACGGCGCCAGGCGGACCTCTCTGGGGAGCGTATTCCATAGGTAGGGCACCACCGCAGAGAAGACCCTCCTCTGGGTATTCACCCTCCTAATATCTTTCATGGAGGACTCCCGGAGAAGGGCCTCTGCTGCCGATCTTGGGGCGGGAGGGCATATATGGATGCAAGCACTCCTTTAGATATCCAGGTCCCAAGCCGTTAAGGGCTTTATAGGTGATAACCAACACCTTGAATTGGGTCCGGACTTCAATGGGAAGCCAGTGAAGCTGACGGAGGACTGGGGTTATGTGAGCACAACCAGCCCCCGTCAGC